CCAGAAATTAACCATGGTTTTGCTACACTAATCATATAGTTTAATCATGGTATTTGTACAACTGTGGTTATACAAATGGTAATCAATACGCAAACAATAAATAAATAAATAAAAAATAAAAATAAAAACAAAACATGGTTACTATACATTTACTATAATGAAACCATGGTTAATTTTCAATTTGTTGGGGTAATTTTGGCATTGTTGGTGTCCTCCCGTTGTGGTCTGTGCTAGCATTTCTGTGTTTGGTTGTGTTGCAAGTATTTGCAGCACATGTGTTGTCATACTGAAGATGATGTTTTCTTAATTTGCTTTTTCTATTTGCATTTGTTTTCTTAAGTTGTAGCGCGTTGAGCTCTCTTGGCCACCATATAAATGGGTGTAATCACAAATCTGTTTTGCATCTAATGAAGTTTTACCTAGTAAACATACAATTGCAGAGCTCTGTAACTGGAAGTATTACTAATAAGAATTGAGCTGGAGAGCTTAAACATTTATTGGTTAAATTTAGAAATGAGTTCACCTGCTGCCTTAAAAATGTGTTAACTCAACCTGAAGATAACCTTTGTTTCAACTCACAGATAGTTAAGACAAGGGATTACTTTAAGTTTCATTTTTAAAAACTTGATTTCAAAACCCAAAACTTGTCATGACAATTGGAGTTAACCCTCTAAGGGATATCGTCATTTACAAATGGCGCTAAGAAAATTGCATTTAAAATACAATATCAATGTTCAACCAACAAATTTTATTGTAGTGATGTCAAATGACATCCCCCTTCAACCAGTAAAATTCAAATTTATTAGCCATGTGCTTCACATTTTTGGTAACTAAGTAGTAAAGGAGACATTAGCACATGTTAGGTAACATGCTCTCAAGGCTCCAGAGTGAGCTCATTTTAGACTAGAAAGTACACATAAATTCAAGTTATAAAAAATATAATTGTACATCCAAATGTGTTTTCTAATGTTTTTTGTCATTTTTAATGCACTTTTATAAAAACAACAACTCCGAGACCAACAAATCTGAGCGTCATGCATAACTGACAAAGTCCTATTATGGGATGCATATTTTGTGTAGCTGGCACTATTGACTAGCATTGGCGGTCAGTATTATAGGCTTTATATCATGTGTTTTAGGTTCATTTTTGTACGATTTTTGGAAGATGGAGAGACAAATCTGTACTTATTTCAGAAAGTATTGATGATAGTGATATGAGTGCATCAGAAAATCAGGTTGTAGTAATAAAACAAGTTGTTGAGGACCAAGGAGGATAGAAGCTTGCATCCGAATTTGTGTCAAGTTTTAGACATTTTCACGCGCAAGTTCCAAATAAAATATAGCAGCACAAGAAAAAAAATGGAATGTTCATAAAGATTTTTAATGTTTTTTGAAACAGTAATACCTTTTCACTTCTTTTCAGATAGTGAAAAAGCATTTGATTGTGTGTGAAGTTTCAGAAAATTTGCCAAAAATAATTCTCCCTAATGGGACAACGTCAGTTATAAATGATGGATCCCTAAAAAAAGGTCAAAGGTCAGATGAAGAAAACAAATTTTGGAAAATGATTTTACTCCTAAATGTATGTAAAATATAAAGTTAATTATTTTTTAAGCTGTAAATTCACAATTAGTCCTATAGAGGGAGAGAAGAAATAAGTTCAAATAATGTAATGGTGCTATAATGTTTTAACTGCGGTTTTTACTAGTAAGAATGCAATTGCAGAACTCTCTAATTGTAATTGTTACTTAGTAAGAATTGCATTAGAGAGCTCTCTAATTGGTATTTTTACTAGTAAGAATTTATAGCTCTCTAATTTAATTCTTACTAAAAAATGCTATTATGACAAGCAACGCTGGGAACTTTTTAAGATAAAATGACTTGCCATAAGCCTCACGCTTATAATTTTGGCTTCTTTCATTAATTGATACACGCCTGCCTTTACATCGAATTGACAAAGTATGAAAGTAAAATTTGAAGTGGCATACATGGCATACACACGTGGCATACGTGGCATACACACGTGGCTTGCATACATCCTGCTTCAATATCAGGTGCAACTGGAATTTCTGAAACCAAAACCTTTAAGTAGCTTGCGCAGAGCTTGTGTTGTGCTTGTATCCTCTGGTAATAGAGCTGTTCAACTAGTGTTCAAGTGGTGTGACTGCAAAACCTTAAGGTGAAGATGTCCTGCACCATTCTGTATCCATTGCTGCTTCTCCTGTTCAGCTGTTCCACTTTGTCTGAGGTCCAGCAGAAAGAGAAAGAAGAGCAGGCTGAGGGGACTGAGCGTTTGAAGGTAGAGGAAAGCAGTGTTCTTTTGGCCTTTGGTGAGTTTCAGCCACAAATTTTCACATGGATCCAGTCTGAGCTGGCAGAGCTAAAATCCACTGTGAGTTGTCTGAAGAACACACTGCAGGTCACAGAGGAACAGCTGGAGCAGCTCAAGAGAAAAGGTAACCTCCTATCTGTTCTCATTTCACAAAATGAAAAAAGCAAGAAAAAAAAGCAAAATAATTACTTTACAAAAAAAAAAAAAAGTTAGTTAAATATCTGTGTTTTTTGTATTCACCACCATTATACTGCCGCACTGCTGATTATACGTATGGCAGAGTAAGTAATTTCAGTAATAAAGTAATCAGAACACGTTTATAATTCAGTCTATCATTTACTAGCTAGCAGTCTGCATACACATCTTTAAACAGACTCTATAAACTAGTGTATAACCAATGGAAAGATATGAAATATAGTGAGAGGATAATGTGTAACTGTAATAATATACAGTAGTGTGCATGATTATTTTTTAACAAAATATGATCTCTGATTCACACAGAAGATAAAGTGGCATTTGCTGCCACACTTGGAAACACAGGTAGCCTTGGGCCTTTCAACACTGAGATAACTCTGGTTTACAAAGATGTCTTTGTGAATGAAGGACGTGCTTACAACCCAACCACTGGTATGTGTTCTTATAAGGAATCTGTATTAATGTTTCATATCACACTTTATAAAAACTTTAATGTTATTTGTTGTGTGTTACAGGTATCTTTACAGCATTTGTTAAAGGAGTCTATTTCTTCACTTTCTCTGGACATAACCACTCATCTAAACCTATGAGTCTAAGACTCTTAAAAAATGAACAACAGATGATAACTGTTTACAATCATCCTCAAGGTGGCCGCTATGAAACAGCATCTAATTCAATCTCTTTGACTCTAGAGAAAGGAGATCAAGTCTACATGCGTCTCCGGGAAAATACATGGGTCTTTGATAATGAAAATGACCACACTTCATTTAGTGGCCATTTACTTTTTTCTCTTTGAAGGTTCTATTATATTCATGAAGTTCAATATACTTCTCAACAAATCTCAACTGAAGGTGTTTAAATGACTTTTCAAATCCTGATTCACTTAAGAGTAAACTAAAAGCATTACAGAACGTATTCTTTTGAGTTTAAGACCTTTTTGTTTATTCATTCATATTTCATGTCATTTTATCTCTTTGATAATTCTATTAAAATATATTGCTTGGAAATACAGAATCGACATTTGTTGTTCTCCATATGTTTCCTTAATAAAAACAACTGGCAAATTAGATTCAGAATTGTCATTCTTTGCGGTTGAGTAATTTGTATGTAGAAAAAGGTCTGTGCAGAAAGATTTAGAGAACGTAAATCAACAAACTTTATAAGTTGTGACTGGATATGCCACCTCTTCTTTTAAGGCTTTCTCACCTCACCTGTGAACAAATAACATACGAAAACTTAATTCATTAATTCATTAATTAATAACCAGCATTTGAACGGGAAAGAGACACTTTCACTCATTCTAAGGAAAGTCTTTATTGGTCAATGTACAGAAAGTGCTGCAGTGACCATCAAAGTTGTTAAACAAAAACCCTATACAAAACAAAAAGAGAGAAACATACAAAAGAATAGTCGTACATGATTTTACAGGGTTGCTCTTTTTAAAAGTTTATTTTTTGTTCCTGTTCTATAACACACATGGTAAAAAGGACTAGTGAATATATAGGGATGAAAGATGTGGGAAGTGGACGGAGGGGGAACGGGATGTCTCACAAGGCTGACATCACAAGCACGTTTTGGCTGATGGCATGAGAAATCCTAACCACCGCAACAGACATTACATAAAACCAAATGCACATATTCATAAATGCACATGTCAAGTGGGAAAAACCATAAGTATCATCTACAGTCGCTCTGGCTTTACTATTCTATAAGAAAACAAAACAGTGTCAAAAGCCTCAGATTTCACAAGATTTGGCTTTTGTTTGTAGTTTTCATATATTTCTATTTCATTTCTTTTCCTGAAAAATTTAATTGAACTGTACACTGTGGGGAGGATAGTGGAGACCACAATATACCAAAGTAGCCCCAGGCTAAAACCACTGATCAATTTTCTTTCCTTTAATAGTTTAAAAGTGCCTTTGTCTACAGAGACTTAGACAAATCTATTTGAGGTGAAGTGAGGGAGAACCCATCCACCGTTGAAGTGAGGACACCATGAACGATAAAAGAGAGATCAACACAGACAGAGAGAGGAGGAGGAGGAGGAACCTTCCTCTGCAGCAAGCAAGTGTGGACACAAACAGGCTGTGTGAGGGATGCAGGAGAACGTGAGGAATCTGAGTCACCATTCAACTACTCTACAGTTCCCTATTTACAGAAGACAGGCATATACAAATGTACAGACACACTTCCTCCTATCTTACCACAGAGAACCCAAAAAACGAAAAAAGTTTGAAATATTTAGTTTGTTTTGTTTTTAAATGTTATCTCATTACTATATATAAATTTTGCTGAAAGAGAACCGTCTCAATCAAAAACTCTGAGGATCTAAAATAAACCTATTTGCTAGATTTCAAATGAAGAAAATATAATTATTATATACTTTCATTACAAAAAAATTCAACTTTTGGGTATTTACTATTGCACATCAATGCAATATATCAAATGTTACTCTGAAGACAGAAAACAACGTTTGGACTGAGGGTGCAAGTCCCAATATTGACCAGCAGATGGCGTTACAGGATGCTTTTTGTGGGTGTTGGAAAGAGTCAAAATCAGGCTGATGTGTGACAGCTTTTCAGGCAATAAATTCTGGCTTCTGTAAGTGTGAGAGGGCATTAAATGCGAGCGTTTTATGTATATATGTGTATTTGTGTGTGCACAAGTCTATGTCTGCATGTGAATCTTGCTTGTGTGATGGTGTATGCATGTGTGTGTGTGTGTGTGAGCGACTGTGTCTGTGTGTGTGTGTGTGTGTGTGTGTGTGTGCTTCTTAATAGGGTAATGTTGACGGGTCCCACTCAAGCTTTCCTTTCACTTTTCCCTTCTGAATGTTAGTCTCTTCCTCTTCATCACTGTCCTCGGATTCAGCACTAAAGAGATCTCCTGCCAGTTCATCATCCTCTTCGTCTTCATCCTCCTCTTCCTCTGGCTCCTCCTCCCTCACCTCCTCAGCAATCGGAGTCCCATCAATGCTCTATAACCAACAGCAGAATGATGCTATTTAGACCATCTTCATGATTAAAACAGTCAAACTCCACACAATATAGAGCAGTGTTGTTATTGTTAAAGGAATAGTTCATCCAAAAATGAAAATTCTGTCATCGTTTACTCACCCTCAAGTTGTTCTAAACTTGCACGAGTTTCTATATTCTCATGAACACAAAAGAAGAATCCAACAGTTGACGGTAGCCATTGACTTTCTATACTATGAAAGTAAATGGCTACCATCAACTGCTTGGTTACTGACATTCTTCAAAATACCTTCTTTTGTGTTCAAAAGAAATAGTATGCTTTAGACTCTCTAATTAATTCATTTTATTCATTCAAAACTCACAACACAGAGTTTCAAACTAGTTACCCCAACAACTGTCTTTACCAATGATGCACATACTGACCTCCATGGGATTAACAGTGATATTAAGATTGGAGTCGTCCCAGTCCATCTCTGGGTCTTTTCTTCCCTCTTCGTCCTCTTTTGAACCATCCTGGTGGGTGGTGTGGATGCGGTAGATTCCCAAGACCACAATGACCACCAGGGCAGCGATGCACATTACGATTACTACTGTTGCCGCAGGAGGGGTACCTAATGACACATGGGTGAAGATATACATATGTATTTTATCTTGTTCTGCCAAACTGCAAAGTTGTGACATGTTACTGTACAAACGGCAATTTATAATCCAGATTTGATAAAACATGCTCAAAGCTGTTGAATTCTATTAATTAAGTTGCTACAATCCATTAAGATTGTTATTGTGATTATTATTATTAATAATAATGTAATTATTTACTGATTATTGTCTTATATCATACTGATGTTGCCAGAGTTTCATACAAGCAGTGTGTACAAGTCTCTAATACTGCATTTATTTGAATTATATTTGAAAAATACAGTAGAAACAGTAATATTGTGTAATAAAATGAAATATGAATATTATTTACAATTTAAATATATTTAAAAACTTAATTTATTCCTGTGATGGCAAAGCTGAATTTTCAGCATCATTATTCCAGTCTTCAGTGTCACGTGATCCTTTAGAAATCATTATAATATGCTGAATTGCTGCTCAAGAAACATTTCTGAACAATGTTGAAAACAGTTGTGCTGCACTATTTTTGAAATAGATTTTTTGAAAATCTTTACATCATAAATACAGTACCTTTACTGTCACTTCTGATCAATTTAATGTGTCACTGCAGTATAAAACTCTTAATTTCTTAAAAAAAAAAACATTTAAACAGTTGTCTATATAGAGAGAGAAACGGAAAGAGATAGCGAGAGAGGTGTATGGATGTTTTAGTCATCCTGCTTTACTTTTAACTGTAGTACAATAACTGGAATGCATGACCTTGAGCCGCTTACAGCTCTAGTCTTTCTATCTCGCAATTATGTATATTCATAGTATTGTTATGACTCACTCAGACATACAAAAATCAATACAATCCCGGATTACTGTCGTTTAGTGTTTCTCTAAGGGAGGTCTGTTCTAGGTGGCTGAGGTGAAGCTTATTTAGCCGTGCTGACAGCAGAAGACAGTTTCGCACAGTTCACTTTAAGAACAGTGTCGTTTACTGAGACCTTGCAGTCAGCAAGAGCAGGATTGGGAGCACGAGGTCACAGTGCCACCTGCTGTTTTTCCATGTCTCTCCTAAAGCAGCATGTCTCGCATCCTGTCATCTCTCTCCCTCTTTCTTTCTTCAGTCCAGAGAGCAGAATGCTCCATCTCGCTGCAGTCAGCTGTGCTCTGTGCACCCTTGGGGAGATCGCTGGTGTCCCTGGTGTGTGCGTGAGCTGGTAGAGTAAGTGTAATTTCCCAAGATCCTTCAAACCAACAATACGGTCTCAAGAGCCTGTGGTCCGCTTAGACTAGTGTGTGGATTTTGTATGTACATGTGTGTAAATTTTGCTTTTTTATAAGCTGAATTCTCCAATGAATAGTTTTTGTGACACATTTACTGTTCTCTTAAAGCCACAGTTTTACAATTCAGTTAGATGGCTTAACAAAGGAACAACACATTATTCACAAAATAAATAAATACATTTTCATTTTCAACACAATAGTGTCATACAGGGTAAAATGACTGCATGACCAGGAATGGATGAGCTTTAAGAGGCATCAAGGCTGACACTCTCTATTCTAATTCTATTCTTTATAAAAAAAATTAAAAACTTGCCCCTTTTAGACTTGCACTCTATTTATTTACTAACTGCTCATTTTCTTAATAAAAAAAAATGAACACTTGCTTCTCTAATCTTTTTGCATTCTATTGGTTTGTTTTCTTTTTATTTATTATACAATTATAATTCTGACTTCTGATTAACAAAAGCAAAAAAGGCCTCTAACACTAGCTTGCTCTATTCTTTTTCTATTCTATCTGTTTTTCTTTTTTATTTATTATATAATAATAAAAAAAACTTGCTACGTGTACTGTATTAAGCTAACTGAGACTTGTTATAGCACTTGCATATCATTGCTCTTTTGTTGATTTTGATTTCTTCCATTGTCCTCATTTGTAAGTCGCTTTGGATAAAAGCGTCTGCTAAATGTCTAAATGTAAATGTAAATGGCTGACTTTACCTGAGATGTGATCAGAGTTGACAGTATGGACCACCAGTGGATGATGCACAGGTCTCATGTACTGGGATTGGACGGCCATGTGATTGACATGCTCTTCGGCTTCTGAGCTGTGCACTATTGCAATCTGAGAGGCGGGACAAACAGAAAATAGTTCAGAGTGACAACAGGGAGAATGAAAATCTGATTTTATGGCCACATCAAGAATGGAATGAATGAATGAATTAATATTTATTGGATTGATCACAAGTGAACCTGTAAATTAGTGAGCCTGTTTTATAATATAAAATGTCAAATATAAATAGAAAATATTATAAATATAAAAATATAAATGAATTAATATAAATAAATTGCAAATATAAAAATTATATATAATATATAAAAATATTAAATATTAATATTAATATTATATAAAAACAAAACAAACAAACAAAAAAGAAAGAATAATCATTTAAATTTAAATCTGTGAATTTTAGGATATTGTACACTGCACTATATTTTTGAAGTACTGTGTCATGGTAGCTGGTTTTGGAAGTTTTGTGTTCCCACTGATGCAGATGTCCCAATTTCCTCTAATTTATTTGGTATAGTCTGTATTATCATACAGAGAGACTGATGAGCCATTATTTAAATAGTCTCCCATTTTAATACCACCGGGCTTATTATTGCATCATGAATTTTAGATTTATCCACTGCTAAAAGTCAAAAAAAAAAAAAACCTTTACATGTCAGTCAGATGGTCTCTTTCTATCTTAATGGTCAGTTCTTAATCAGAAATCAAGAGTCAAAAGTCAAGGCTCTGCAAGAGCAGTGCACAGCTTACTTTTAAGTACTAGGCGTCCAAAAGTGCAAAAAGCCGAAAGAAGAGCAGGAATTGAAAGAGGGGATAAAGTGAATGGATGATAAAAAGAATAAGAAGCCATTCCCAGTATGAAGGCAGTCTCTGACCTCAAAGTTGAACTCATTGCTTGTGTAGCGTCCATTCAGTTCAGAGCAACTGAGCCGGAACCTTCTCTCAGACAGACCGCCAGGCTTCCAGTTATGGTACCTCACCTGCCTGATGGCCTGTTCATAATGCGCCATGGAGTCCACACCTGAGACCAAAGAAAGACCAGTGTCAGGAACTCGGTCTACTCAGACAAAAGAGCTACAGAGGCCTGGGAGACACTCAACATGGAGTCTGTGAACAAGTAGGAGGTCTTAGACCTTTTCTAATAACTATAAAACCACTTTATGAAATGTAACAGTGATTTGAATTTGCTTGCAAAAAGTAAAATGTACAGAATGATTGATAGAGGCAGAGATCTGTTCAAGAGTCAAGGCTTTTGAGCACAATCAAGAGTGACTTTTAAAGATCAAAACTTTTATGTTTTTATTTTTCTGAGAAAAGCTTAAAAATGTTCTTGGAAGAAACAAACAAACAAAAAAACTACTAAATGTCCAAGGATCCACAACCTTACTTAGCATTGACAAGAGCTAGAAAAATGTTTAAAAAATACTTTATTAATAAATTAATACTTTTTAAAGAAATTGTTCACTTTTTTTTGCAGATAATGACAGTGCATGGGAATCTGGGTAAAAAATACCCACCAAGGTTCATTGTATAAAATACCATTCAAAAGTTTGAGGTCAGAAAGATTTTTTTAACAAAATTAATAGTGCATTATGCGCATTAAATTGATCAAAAGTGACAGAAAAGACAATGTTATAAAAGATTTATATTTCAAATTAAAGCTGTACTTTTTAACTTTCTATTAATCAAAGAATCCTGATGCATCACAGTTTACACCAAAATATTAAGCAGCAGAACTGTTTTCAACTGATAATAATAAAAACAAATTATTGAGCACCAAATCAGCATATTAAAATGATTTCTGAAGGAACATCTACTGAAGACAGAAGTAATGATTGCTGAAAATTGAGCTTTGCTTGTAAGTATATATTATAGATAGATATAATAGAATACATTTTAAAATATAATAATATTTCTCAATATTATTGTTTTTACTGTATTTTTGATCAAATAAATGCAGCCTTGATGAAGACTTCTTTCAAAAACAAGGCAAGATTATCAGTGAATAATGGTTTAAATATTGATCTGTTCCTCACACAAATCTATTGTTTTGCAGGAGAAGACTTTGAATATATCACAGTTTTTTTTATGGCGAGTTTATGGTGCTTATTTGTCATTTTGGAGCATGATCCCTATTCGCTGTCACATGCTTCAATACGTCTCCCTTTGTGTTCCACAGATGTGTAATTGATGAGAGATTTCCCATTTTTGGGTTGATTACATGAACACAAGATTATATGTCCTGTAATACAATCAAGGTCAGTTTACAGATTCATTACAGAACCAATTAAACATCTACAGATCTAGATTTAAAGGGCACCTATTATGCAAAATTCACTTTTACATGGTGTTTGGACATAAATGTGTGTTGGCAGTTTGTGAACACAACCACCCTACAATAATAAAAATCCACTGACTCCTTATTTTTTAATCCCCATTAAACCAAAGCAGTCTCAATAGACTTAAAAGTGATACACAGCAAAACTGCTCTTTTTTAGACATGCCCCAAAAGTGACATTTTCCACATGTTATAAAAAATTATATGTGGGGTATTTTGAGCTGAAACTTCACAGACACATTCTGGGGACACCCAAGACCAATATTACATCTTGTAAAAAGGGGTACAATAGGTGCCCTTTAAATATGTTCTACATTGAGAACCTATGTAAAAAATGAAACGAGAAGATGGGAAGAATCCTTCAGCTGTGGATAAACAATAAATGAAAGAGTCAGTGTAAAGTAGAAACATAATGAGATTATGAGAAACATTCTTGCAGCAGATGGCTGTATAGTAGATCGAGACATGTGGTCGAACATACCGTAGATGGAGATGCCAGAGGTAGAGTTGGTGGCATCCAGATGTTTGCCCAAGAGAGAGCTGTGGTGGATCTCCAGACTCTCCCGCTCCGGGTCCAGCTCCTCTCCGATCACCAGCACATCACAATAATCCAGGTTATGCATCAACTCCAGCACACCAGGCCTGCGGGCTACACAAACACACATGCACACACACTCCGTTACACAGGCACAAATACACAGTGGCAAATATATGACCTCCCGCCGTATCCACAAACAACCATTGATTGTGTATGAATTTAATTTTGATGATTTATTGTTTTGCTACCCCTGGCTCTGCATTCGATAAAAGAAGCCGGACACTTTTGTTGAACTTTAAATGAAAAAGGACACTAATAAAAAACAATTGACTTATGGTCAGTGTAATAACCAGCAGAAGGCATTTATAATCTTGATAATAATAGACTAAAACATTATTAAAAAAACACGCTGAGAGGAATCCGTGGATTATTCTAAATATTCTAAAACGTTTATACGATTACATTACAGGCAAAATGTGCAACTGTGGCACCTCTGAAATAGATGAATGCAAAATAGTGAGATTATGTTAATATATGAGCTGTGAAAGGGAGTCATCAATCACCTATGCTGAGGGTGGCGTCGGTCTTGGTGACGGTACTAATGATGTGTATGTCCTTGAACAGGGCCACCCCAACAGGGGCTCGGAGCTGAGCCGCGGGCCAAACCAGCCGCTCCACTCCAGCAATGGTGATCCGAGGTTCACTGGGCGGCAGCACCATCACCATTGCTTTGATGTCTGGAATAGAGATGCACGTATCTTCACCGAAACACCTACAAGTTGCAAAACAGAGAGAAGGAAAACAAGAGACTTATTCAGGGTAACACTGGAAGACTAGAACTGATGCATAGGGCCACAGACTGACATGAAGATAACTATTTTAAAACCTAGTTTAGGCTCTGATGGGATAAGTCATGTTCAAAACGTCTGTTTCTGTCCCGTCTACACCATTCTGTAAATTGTTTTTAGGCAAATATTACAACAACAATGCTTTTGGGCAGAGTTTACCCATATTTCTGAGGGAATGGACATGCCAACCCATCATGATTTTCATCATTTATCCAGATGTGTCCAAACTTTTGACTTTATTGTGTACACATGACTTACAATTAAAATAAAGGAAATGGATATCAGTCTTTAAGAGTAATTTAAATTTAAATTTAAATTAAGAAAATGCATGTCTCAATTTGTCTTCTTTTAGGAAGACTTGAGGTAATAATAAATGTTTTTTCTTTTGAATTTATGACTAGCAAATATATAAATAACATTACTGAGACTCACATACATTAGTTATTAATGCATACAGGATAATTTAGAGTAATACATGGGAAATAAAATAGAATAAAATAAATAAAATCTTCCTTTACAAAGACTTAATAATAATAAAGTCCCCCCCCCAATTATTATGTAAATTACATTGGTGATGCTCACATACAGGATTTATGAGAAATAGATAAAATAGGAATTTAATCATTATAAAAAAATCCCCAACTTTATACATTCAAACACACTTTCACACTGCAAATATTTAAACACTCTTGCTTCCCAAAATAAAGTCTGTATCTCACTTTGAGCAAGAGCCCATTAGGATGCACTGACACTCACAAACTCTCTTTCAGTTGAGTGTTTGGACAGTTGATGACTACAGTGTCTAACTTTTGTTTCAGACTGTCACCGTCAACTTCAGCACAGTCGCACCTCACAGGTGAAATCAATCATGGGACCAATCAATGATGCCAAACCATAGTTAGCTTTAAAGCAGCGAGTCGACAAAAATATTTGCGAGAACACGAGCAGTGTGCTCAGCTTGGTGCCACCTCCTCCTGATGCCAGCTGAAGAAGTTGGTATGGCAGTCAGAAGTAGTGTTGATTAAGACCAAGGCGCTGAAGCGTGGACTGCAACAGACTCACACACAGACCTGCTGGGGAAATTGAAGTCCCTCCAGCTTCATTACAGCTAGTATGCGAGGAGAAAGGGGGAAATAAAGTGTCTTAGGATTAACAGGCCTCCCTTTCTCACGATGCACCCAGTAATTACTCTTTTTCAAGGGTGAGTCCTAAAGAGCACTCATTGGTTTACTAATTCATTTATATACTCGCCCGCTAATTAAGAACTATCTGTTTGTTCAAGACAACAACACGCTTTCTGCCACCGTCTCGGGTGTAGTGATGCTTAGCCGAGTGATGATGTGCTCTCCCTGAGGTAATTCCTCCATACGGCTTGCCTAAACGCTCTCCCTCAAGTCGCCATGGAGAATGGCCTCGAATGAGAAGGAAGGGGAGCGCAAAATTGTGTGGAACCAACAAAACAATTATGTCTAATGACTGCAGTAAAAATGACTGTGGAAAGTTTGTGATGTGTAAAAGTGGCTCCCTTCGGTCGACTTGAGCTACATACTAAAAGAAAGTAGTCGAGAGCATGCTCACTCATTAAAAAGGCTTTGTGAAAAAGGCCAACAGTCTTGCTTTACAGTGGGGAAAATATTTATTTGATCCCCTGCTGATTTTGTAAGTTTGCCCACTTACAAAAAAAATGAAGGGTCTGTAATTTTTATGGTAGGTTTATTTTAACGTATAGAGACAGAATACCAACCAAAAATCCAGAAAAAACACATTATATAAAGGTTGGAAATTTGCATTTCAGTGAGTGAAATAAGTATTTGATCCCCAGGCAAAACATGACTTAGTACTTGGTGCAGAAACGCTTGTTGGCAAGCACAGAGGTAAGACATTTTTTGTAGTTGGTCACCAGGTTTGCATACATCTCAGGAGGGACTTTGATCCACACCTTTTTACAGATCCTCTCTAAATCCTTAAGGTTTCTTGGCTGTTATTTGGCAACTTGAAGTTTCAGCTCCCTCCACAGATTTTCTATAGGATTGAGGTCTGGAGACTGGCTAGGCCACTCCATGACCTTAATGTGCTTCGGTATGTTTCGGGTCACTGTCATGCTGGAAGACCCTTCCATGACCCATCTTCAGTGTTCTGGCTGAGGGAAAGAGGTTCTTGTCTAAGATTTTACAGTACATGGCCCCATCCATTTTCAGTCATCCTGTACCCTTAGCAGAAAAACAGCCCCAAAGCATAATGTTTCCACCTCCATGCTTGACTGTAGGGATGGTGTTCTTGGGGTCATAGTCAGCATTTCTCTCCCTCCAAACACGGCGAGTCGAGTTAATGCCAAAGAGCTAAATTTTGGTCTCATCTAACCACAGCACTTTCTCCTAAGCCTTCTCTGAATCATTTAGATGTTCTTTGGCAAACTTTAAACGGGCCTGTACATGTGCCTTCTTGAGCAGGGGGATCTTGCGGGCGCTGCAGGATTTCAGTCCATTGCGGCGTAGTGTGTTACCAATGTTTTGCTTGGTGACTCTGGTCCCAATTACCGTAAGATCATTAACAAGCTCCTCCTGTGTAGTTCTGGGCTGATCCCTCACCTTTCTCATGACCGAGGCTGATTGATGGTTATTTTGTATTTCTTCCATTTCCGAATAATCGCACCAACTCCTTCTCACCAACCTTCTTGCTGATGGTCTTGTAGCCCATTCCAGCCTTGTGCAGATCTACAATCTTGTCTCTGACATCCTTTGACAGCTCTTTGGTCTTTCCCATGGTGGTGGAGAGGTTAGAATGGAAGATACAGATTATGTGGACAGGTGTCTTATACACCTAACGAGCAGACATTAGGAGTAACTTCTTACAGTGGCAGGACTAATCTGTGTTCCACATGGGCACATAACCAGTCTGTGGGAGCCAGAATTCTTACTGTTTGGTAGGGGATCAAATACTTATTTCACTCACTGAAATGCAAATCAATCTCTAACTTTTATATAATGTGTTTTTTTTCTGGATTTTTTGGTTGGTATTCTGTCTCTATCCATTAAAATAAACCTACCATAAAAATTACAGAACTTTCATTTATTTTTAAGTGGGCAAACTTACAAAATCAGCAGGGGATCAAATAAATATTTTCCCCACTGTATTTACAGGGCTGATTTAAGGATATTGGGAGCTGGTCTAAGCCAGACTACGGCTATTAAAAGAGCTACGGCTCACTCCACTATTGACAAGGGAAGTCTGTTCTTATTTAGGCAATCCTCTTCACCAATGAACACTAGACAAGTGTAGAAGCCTCTCTCTTCTTTTTATTCTCTCCTGGTCTCACTTTCTCCACGGTAAAGATTCATTTGGGTACGTATCAGCCGAGTGCGATTGGATCCAATAGGTTTCATTAGACTGCTGTCAGATGACACGATCCTTTCACCCTTGACAATCAAATGAGCATTTCCAAAGGGAAAAGGACACCCACAAAATACTAGGAAGGTAGCTAGCAGTGTTTCAAAAGTTTGGGATTGGTAAGGTTTTTTTTATGTTTTAAAAAGTCTGTTACACTCACCAAGGCTGCATTTTTAAAATAAAAAATATAGTAAAACAGTACATTCTGAAATATGACTGCAATTTGAAATAATTGTTTTCTATTTTCTGTATTTTCAGTATATACTCCAATCTTCAGTGACACATAATGTTTCTAGAATCATTCTAATATGCTGATTTGGTGCTCAAGAAACATTTCCTATTATTATCAGTGTTGAAAACAGTTATAACAATGTTTAAACAAACAAACTGCATATGTTTGAATATATTGAATAACTAAATATATTATTTTGGATAAATAAATAAATAAATCATCTTTATTTAATTGGTTCATTCAAATGGACCATCTGAACATACCGACTCAATATTATTGAATCAGACTCCCAAAGTTTCATATGAGACAGAGTTGAGTTTAATTATCATTTTAGATCTCTCTGCTGCAAGCTGCATCAGAATCAAAATAAAGAAAAAGAAAAGAAAAACAGTTTGTCATGGAAAAGTTATCCATCTCAACAACTAAGCTATTGTAGGTATTTAAATCAGCAGCTTGAATCCAATTATTTATTAAAGGAGAGTGAAATCTACAAAATAAATTTTAACAAAATTTTAATGGAGCGATACTAAAATGCTGGACATGAAAGGAAGTCCAGGTAATGATCAATAAACAAGAACCATCAAACCATCATCTTCTCCAATTATTGACCTGAAGTGCTCGATAGTAAAGCCTCTGAGCATTTTATTGTGTAAGAGGATGGTGGAGAAAAGACGAGAGAGCGATATAGTGAGAGAAAAGAGATAAAAGAGAGAAATAATGTAAGATCACTGTTAAAATTAGACAGGAAGTAACCCCTGTGAAGTCTTTGTATATTATTACTGTACTTAAGATGTCAAATTAACAGCAGGAAGTCCTGCTCTGCACCATTTTCTGCTCTGCTGTGCAGTAATAGTACAGTGTTTTTATACAATATACTGCACTATGTTGTGGTAGTTCACCCAAAAATAACAATTCTGTCATACTTACCCTCATGTTGTTTCAAACAGCTTTGTGTGAAACACAAAAGGAGATGTTTAGACTGGATGTCCAGGCTGCTTTTTCAATAAAATGAAAGTGGACACGCCATGGTCACTATTCCTAGCGAATAGTTGTACTAGATTACTTCTTTTTCACTCAAGAAAGTCAGTCATACAGGTTTGGAACAATAAATCGTGACAGAATAGTAATTGTTGTGTGATTTCCTTTTTGCCATGTGTTGTGCAGAGCAGTGTTGTCACTTTCTGACCCATGCTGTGTGACAGTATCTTTAATTGTGTTGTGCTGTACTGCAGAGGCTGACTCTATGTCACAGCAGATTTTCTTTCATCAAGGTCTTTCATGTTCTCTTCAGCTGGTCTCACTACAGTCATCACCACCAGCAGGCCTGTCCATTATCCACAGACACAAGACCACTGCCAGAACACTACATGCTGCTGAAAATAACAGCTTCAGCCAAGTTGCTTTGCTATCAAATCTATAGCTCAAACACTACATGGCACTTGCAACACCAAGGTCATGGGTTCAATTACTAAGACATGCATGGACTGAAATTGTATGTAATATGAATGTGGATCAAATATTTACAATCATCTGCCAAATACATACTTGTAATGGTGTGTGTGCACACCAAAATCAAAGCAAATATTTGCATCACATCACTCTAGTTTACTCGCAAAATGTTCACGCGAATTGTTAAATTCTATTCTATTCTATTCTATTCTAAATCAATGGGCAGAAAATATATCCACTTAAGAGAAAAGTTTGAAATGGGGGATTTAAACTTGTGACATTTGGCAACCTCAAGCGTGAAACCTTGTGGAGGCTTGTTACCATTGAAAGATAACAGAAATGTCAAATGAAACAAACTTTCAGGATAAATAACCAGCAGACAATCAAGAGAAACAGAAATCGTGATCCTGATTAAAAATACAATTAATCATGCAGCCCTACTTTAAGTTGTATTTTTCAGTAGGGCAACACTTTTGACTCTTTTGAGAAAAACTCGAAACATTTTCTCTTCACCTCTACTCAAATTTGCCAGGGTAAGTTTCTTTGGGATATGTGGATATGAGTTAAGAGAAGAGCCAGATTGCATACAGGTACTTGAGAGTCATGCAGTGTAAGACAGATGTTATCGGTAACCAAGGCAACCCTACATTCTCATCCCTTAGCTCTGTAGTATTGATAGAAGAAAGCCTTCTGCTGCCGCTCATCCTTCACTCATAAACATCTAGCCTTGCTTTTATTAACAACACTTGCTTGTGAGATTAACAAAATTAAATGATCATCACACATTCAAAGCACTCAACACTTTAAATGAACCCCTAAGATGCAAGCTAATTACACTTAATCATTCACTCGAATATTTACTCCTATACTTAGTATTCATCCCATAGAGAGACTGCAGGGTTATCAATCTATTAAAGCCTTCATGAGCTGATGTTGTGAAGTTTTATGGGATGTTTTTGACTTTTAGTGCAGTACTCACTGGACTGTAGTGGTTATGTGGAGTTTGCGCAGACCGGGAGTGGGAAACTGCCGAGAGTTAATGTAGGAAACTTTAGTCATGGCTGTGTTGATGCTCTCCAAATCATCTGCCTCCATGACCAGCACCGACTGAGCCGGGTTGAAGTGGAACTGAGAGGGATCAAGAGAGTGTGAGACAGAGCCAATTTTCATAATCGAGAGAGAGAAAAAAAAACTAAAAGCAAAGAAGTAAATGAACGAGTCAACACATTTACATATAGATGAATAAATGATGGCTGGGAATGACTGATGTCAAAGGATTCTCAAATATATTCAGATGATATTAAAGAGATGGACAAAGAATGGAATGCCTATAATCCTTCCAATGAAAGGCTTTGCATATCTGTATGCATATGTGTGCACGCATGTACCTTTATGCCTTTTCCCAGACTCTCGAGTGAGCTGATGTCCAGGCCTTCCTTGCAAGCCTGTAGGCAGGAGATCACCTTTTGAGTTGCGATCTTCCCAGGTCGGATAGTCAAGCCTGAGAGGCTTCCCCGGAAATACTGTGTGAACCTTGGAGTGGTCACCTCTCCTCCTGTAAACAAACACATTACAAATCATGCACATGCATACTTGCAGTCACTGGCAACAAAATATACTGTACAAAAGCTAAAGATATCTGAAAGCTAAGTGACGCTCTGCGTGCATGTGTGTCAAAATGTCAAAAACACCTTATCTGGCACTATCCAGAGTTTGGAAGACAAGCTCGTCTACTGAAATGCCTCCATCTGCTTCCGATTTTTTTTTTAAACAAGAAATGTTTTTGTATTTTTGCTCTCTATGATAACCCACAATCCTGTGCATGCAAACGTTTATCCAAAGAACAAAATAAGGCTCTTATGTACCAGTGTCAAGAAGTCAGTTCATTTATAAACTCAATATATATTAATTATATTGTTATTAATATTATTTACAGTTCTTGCAGGCTGGTGCTGAACTGATATTCCTTAATTAAATATTGTATTTTTACGCTTATATACAAATTGTGAATAATGCTAACATACAAATATGTAAATAATTCAGCTCAAGACAAACTTTTCGTAGGTAATTTCATCCTTAGGTGTATAACCAACCAGCTATGAGGTGAATCACAACATTACAAACTTTGATTTGAAGCAAAAAATACAAAACTGCATACTTAAATTAGGGAAAGAACTACAATCCCACGAAGCATTGTGACAATATAACTATTTTAAGTTTATTATAAAATATAATTTTGTATTGCATCGGAGACTCGATTGTGTCATTCACATTGTTTTCTTTAGATGCATTTTGCTCACTGTGACTCGCTGATTGGTGGAATTTTCTGTATAGCATCATGGGTAATGTAGTTTTTCATCACAAATTACGCTATTCTACATGATTTTTTTTCATGTTGTTCTTCAACATGTTCTTCATTCAGAATCTAACCAATTAAGATGACATCATGTAATATTTACACAGTGAATTGCTACTGGTCTTCTTGACTTGATTTGGTCATCAAGGTCATCTGTCTTTTCTTTCCTGAGTGACAGCATCTTTTACTTGTATGTATGTATGCATGTATGTATGCATTTATTTATTTATTTATTAATGAATAGTTGGTCACACTGACCTTCTTATTAGGAACCTTGATTAAAAAAATAAGAGGGAGTTAGAATAAGAGCAATACCTGTCGCCAATAACATCTGCTGTTTTCCCTCCCATACATCCCTGACTGATGATCTGGCAGATTTGGGGAGTCTAATAGATCCATGCAGCGAATACTGTCACTCCTAAAGCCTCACAATGAGAATCTGTGTTTCCAATGCTTAATTGCTTCCTTTTTTAAATTATTTAGTTGACAGATGTTATCAATTAAATGTTATTTCACAGATGAAACAGCAGAGGAACATTTGCATTCTCGTTCGTGCTCCCTCTAAAGGACAAAAGCTCTAATGAGACTGCAGTCCTTGCATGGCATATAAGAGCTGTCACCATTACATCTGTATCGATCAGTAGCTGCATGACAGACAATAACAAACAGAACACATTCTGAGCCCTGTGGAAAAGGCACCGTCATGACCTTACATTTAGATTAGCACATATGATTTCTCATTATAACCAAAAAAGTTTCAGAGAAGCAGCTCAGTAATGGCCTTATTTATCTTCCTTTACACACGCTTATTATAGAGCAACCTTTTAAAAAAAAATTATTTGTTTTTATTCTTCAATGAACAGTTCACCCAAAAATGATCATGAATCATTTACTGAATTTGATTATTTTTAAGGATACTGGCTCATTTCTCTTTTTTTACCAAAATATTTTTTTCTTTAACACTAAAATATACCATTCAAAATGTTGGGATCACTATGATTTGTCTTTGTTTAAAGAAAGTAATACTTAAGCAAGGATGCATTAAATTGATCAAAAATAACATCAGATAAATTTAAAATCATACAAAATATTTTTATTTCAAATAAATTTTGTCATTTAGCAGAAATGGGGGATTTAAGGGCTCAAATAAATGCTGTCTTTCTAACCTTCAGTTCATGAAAGTATCCTGAAAAAGACACTATTTCACAGTTCCCACACTTCATTAAGTCGAACAACCATTTTGAACTAATAGTAAGAATAAGAAATGTTATTTGAGCACCAAAATTAACATATTATAGTAATTTCTGAAGGATCATGTGACACGGAAGACTGGATTCATGGCTGCTGAAAATTCAGCTTTGCCATCACAGGAATAAAATACATTTTAAAATATATTAAAACAGAAAACAGTTTACTGTTTTTGACTTGATTTGGATCAAATAAATTCTGCCTAAAAAGACGTTTTATGATACTGAACTTTTGAATGTTTTTTTACATTAAACACATATAAATTACACAATGGATCAGTTAATGTGCTAAACAAAGCTCTATAAAAAGCAGATAATCCTGTTTGTGGTCTCGTCAAGACAATGACCACCAAACCCCATTTCTACCCTGAAGAAGACAAGGATCTCAATTTGGCCTGAACAAATACCATCCTCGCTTTCCATTATGAAGTGGTTTGTCGCCATGTTGTTGATGGCACGGAGTGAAAATGGACAGGGTGCTAGAAGCAATCTTGGCCGTTAATGGCTTGAAAAGTTATCAGTTGCGGTTTAGTGGAGCTTAGACCAGCTTCATTGGGATGTAATAGCAAGTGAACTTGTCCCCCATTCAGGGTCTCTTAATCCTTACTATGGACCTCTTCTAAAAAAAGAAAAAAAATTCACAATTCAAAGCCTGTGGAAAAACTGAGAATAATCCTCAATCAGCACGGATGAAAAGAAATGTAAAATGGTACTGAAGAGTCGGAACTTAGAACCTCATTGTCTAAAACAATGACTTAGCAGTGACTCCATTCTCTCAGAGGCTTGTTTAATTATTTAGCTTGTGAAAGCGATGTTAAGGACAGACTCTCCATTCAAATGTGATCATTAGCTCCATTTCAAAAGGCTGAAATTGACAGGTCGTGTTTCTTTTTTGATGTTTTCACGCCTGAGGTCTCTTTAATTAAATGAAGAATCAGGGTAGCCTTGGGCCAAACACACTGCCTCTATCTTGGTATTCGAACCGCCGCTGCCGTGCTCTCACAGTCATATCAATAATGTAGATATCTCTTAGTTACACCCTTTCTTAAGTCTGAGACTATCTGATAACATCTCAAAACCGGTGGATGCTGATTCATCATCTCCTGTGTCTGGGCCGTCCAAACCACAGTTATGCCACCATTTCATATTATCGATCCTCTTTTTCCAAGGATAATCAAAACAACATTTGATTCATGGTCTCACCTTGCCAGCAGGCACCTACAGTTAGCTGTACATCGATCTCAGAGGGGTGGATGGGCCAGTCGTCCGTCACAAGGTAGGGTTCGTACGTCACTCCGTCTACGAAGAGCGTCACTGAAGGAAACTCCACATTGATGACGTAGTAATGCCACTCTTTATCACAGATCTGGAGACAAGAATAAGTTTCGATCTAGTTAACAGGGCAAAACAACACATTTTTAAAATTGCTGGTTGATCAAATACTGATTTTGGGTTAAATCTGCGAATTGGATTAGCTTCAAAGAGATGTTTTTTGCATACATAAAATCTAAAAGAAAGTAGATTTCTAAATGTGTGTGTTTTAAGTTTCATTTTTAAATTGACACATCTTAAAAATGAACTGGTGGAACACACAAAACAAAGCAAAGTAAACCAAAAAGAAAGAAAAAAAAACACCGTCATAAATGAACCAACCTCTAATCAAAAACTTAACTGACCCACTCGGAGTTCAAATTTACAGTAAAACTTTCCTAGTAACAAAACAAAACAAAACACACCATAAGAAAATTAACAAACCTCTAATCAACAACTTAATTGACCTACTCGGAGTTAAAATTCACAGTAAAACTTTCCCAGAAACAAAAAACAAAACAAAACAAAAAACACACCGCTGATTTCAGTTCATTAAAAACTAGACTGAAACAAATTGGAATGTCAAATGAGAAAACCTCTTGGTTCAAAAGCTACTTAGTGGGTAGAACACAATGTGTGCAAATGGAAGGCCATTCATCTGCACCACTGCAGATTACGAGGGGTGTTCCTCAGGGATCTGTTTTGGGGCCTCTGCTTTTTATTATTTACATTAACAATCTTGATTTTAATATTGGTCATGTTAATTTTCATTTTCATTTTTATTTCATATTATGCTGATAACACTGTGATTTATTGTAGCACACCTAAATTACACCAAGCTGTGTTCTTACTCCAGAGTGCTTTTGGTGTTGTGCAACAAAGGCTTTGTGGCTTTTTGTGACTTTGAATGTGACTAAAACTAAAGCTATGTTATTTTCAAGATCAAAGAAACAAGTGGCAAATCAACTATCACTCAAAGTTACTCAAAGTCACTGTTAGAACCTATCATTGTGATTTGTATAATAGAGTTGGCTGGACGTCATTATCAACACACAGATGAAATCACTGGTACATGTGTATCTATAAATCCATCTGGGGTTTACTGCCTCCATATCTTTGTTCCCTCACCCAGCCTAAAGCTCTTGGAGCTTATTCTCTGCGCTCACTGGACATGTACATTCTTTCGGTTCCATTTGCACGAAATGAACTTGGAAAACAAGCTTTTCAGTTTGCAGCACCCAATGATTGGAACTTTTTACAACACAACTTGAAGTTGCAGGCCTTAGTGTCAAAGAACAATTTTAAATTCTTGATTAATGAGCTGTTGAAGGAATAATTCATTTGTAAATGTTTTTAATTGTTGTCAACACATTGTTTTAATGTTCTTCTTATGAAATGTAGTGCTGCATCTTGGCCAAGTCATTTCTGTAAAAGAGATTTTTAATATCAGCAAGTTTTACCTGGTTAAATAAAGGACAAATAAAACAAAAAATAAATAAATGAACCAACCTCTAATCAAACACTTAATTGACCCACTCTGAGTTAAAATTCACAGTAAAACTTTCCCGGTAACAAAACAAACAAAAAACAAAAAACAACAAAAAAAATCACACCTTCATAAATGAACCAACCTCTAATCAACAACTTAATTCACACACTCTGAGTTAAAATTCACAGTAAAACCTTCCCAGAAACAAAACAAAGCAGACCTTCATAAATGAACCAACCTCTAATCAACAACTTAATTGACCAACTGTAAATTAATTCACAGTAAAACTTTCCTAGAACCATGTTTGGGTCAGTCTAAACTACAAACTAAAAATAGGACACATTGTTGCTAGATATAAGGAACAATTCGAGATGGTCCTCACTGCAGAACACAAGATCCAGGGGGCAAGGTTGGATCCAGATCCAACTCCTCCCACCTTGCATATACCTAAACCTACCCGTCTCCACCCCCTGATCCCTAAACCCACCCATCTCTACCCCTAAACCTACCATCTCTATCCCTAAACCTAGCATCTCCACCCCCTAGATGTGGATCCGACCCCACCCCTTGGATCTTTGTTCTGCAGTGAGGGGCTACTGAACAATTCCAATAAGTCCATCAGGATTGTGTTCTTATCTGAATAATATCTGTGCTTAGGTTAAGATGATTAACATTAGGTTTTCAGTTCACGTTCACATGCCCTTAATGAAACAGAAATGTAACTTAATTTGCCATCATTAGCTATACTATTCATCATTTGTCATCTGTCCTATTACATTAATTAGGTATAATTATAATCAGACGCTAATTATAGGGACAAAGATTTACGAGTATGAGAAACATCAGATCACTTTAACATATCAAAGCAAACCAATCAGAGCTGTTTAAAGTTCTTCTACATTTCATTATTTATCTTTTCTGACATTTACATGGTCATAGTTAACAACTGTAGGCATTGTTAAAGAAAGGACTAAAAGCAAACCTATTAGAAAAATATGTAAATGTTGAGGATAGATTGCCTTCTGCAACTCCTAGAGTCATCACTTCTGAGATTCAGCATAATGGTGAAACAGGCTTAAAGATCCCAGCCACATTTAATTGCCTCACTCTTTCAAACTTTAACAGCCGCAGTGCCAATAAGTTGTACTATTTTGACCTTTTGCCACTTTATTTGTGGGAATAGCAGAAAGAAGACAGGAACTGCTGGGGAGGGAAGAGAGGGAAGGAGAACTAGTAAACAACGCAAGCCAAATATGAATATGCATTGGTCACATGAACACCACAGCTCAATGTGTTGTGCTAAGCTGCTACAAGAAATTGTATACAAGGAAACATTTGACACAACACAATCAAACACAATGAAATTTTGCTTCAGCTAGTTTATAGCAAACAGGGACACTGATGGATTGGTCATTAAGGGGCAATTTACACACAATGGGCCCCATTCATAAAACGTTCGTAAATATAGGAGTAAATTCTGAGTAATGTGCACGTAAAACGGACCTTCCCGAAAACTCTCCTCTGGATTCACAAACGCTTCGTAAACTTCCGATTTGATAGTTAAACATGCGTATATTAATTAATTTAACATTCATTCACTCATTCACAATTACCATAATCCCCGCCTATGAATTACAGCTACGCAAATTGCGTGTCAAGGAACGCAGTGGAATATTCTGGTCTACTTTCTCAGGTTTGGCTCCAGTATATTTCATAAATGCAAAAAAGACTAATAGGCCATATGCCTAACAATAAATATTCAATAACTTATGTCCACCAAAGCGTTTTTAGTCAGCTGACTCTTCTGAAAACGGTCAGCTGATGGTGCTGGTGGACGTTTTAGTGGCACAGCGTTTTTCCAGCTTAGACGCTTTGATTGCTATAATTTGGAATATACACGGCAGTAACGCATTACTAGTATCTCATTTTGAAGAATATTTCTGAATATAAAAATGCAGTAACCAGCAATGTTAACTTCTCTATTGTTGTTCAGTTGTTGTACAAGTAGGATGATTGGTCGGTGTAGCCTCATATTTGTCCCGCCCCTCCTCCATTGATTGGAAGGCTGGGTAAAATGTGACAGTGACAAGCGCTGCATTTTACCCAAAGCTAAACAGTTTATCAACTCCCAGCTACAAAAAAACAAAAACGAAAACAGAGCAAACGAACTTGTAAAATATTATGATGGCAGTGCATCAAAATTCAGTGTCATCAGTTTGCCAAAAAGAACACAGAACGTTTTACGCACCATTTAGGGAGCAGGTGTACATTTCTTTGTACCAACTAATATTTTGAAAATACGAACACTTTCATGAATCTGAAAATTTACGTCAGAACAGCTTTACAAATGATTTACGCAAAAATCTGTTCTGCTCGTGTTTCATGAATGAGGCCCATTGCTTTATTGCATTAAATGTTCTTTTTTATTTTAATTAATAATTTTTTTTGTATTACATGTGCTAAATGGTGTTGTTATAGTTAAGTAAACTCTTCAAAATCTAAATGATCTAAAATTAAAATAAAATAAAAAACTTTTAAAAAGCTAAATAAAATAAAAAACTTAAATAAAATAAAGTATATATATTAGATGAACAATTTAGAAATGTTGCCTGAGCAACTAACTAAAATAAAACAGCTTGAAGTAATAAAATGACTAAAACTGAACTAAAAAAATAAACTAAAGCTAAACAGACATATTTAAAAATAAAAATAACATAAAATGACAAAACTACTGAAAAAATACAGTAAATTTTTATCCAAAATATGAA